TATTTATTCTTCCAGATTTGTTACAATATTTCAGAACACATTTATTTTTAAAGTAACCTGACAAATGCATGGAAAAAAAATAATCCAGCACTTGTACTGCTGAGATTAAAGTTCAGAACATAGTTCCCAAACCATCAGATCAAGAGAGGTTTAAGTTCCACAGAAACCGCACTCTTGACAGTGAAGGAGAAAGCAGGAGAGACACGTGCCATTCAAGCGCTCCCATCTAGATAAGACACCAATTATTTGATGCTGGCAGCAAACAGGTTTAGCAATACTGTGCTCACATGGCTCAGCACAGGCTTTAGTTCAGGCTGCCTGTAATTGTAACTGTCCTAAAAGGCACTATCTGACCTTGGCTGTGCAGCTAACAGTATTCAGTGGCAATTCAGCAACCTACTTTCACCAACAGATACGTTTTTCCCTCTGCAAGGGCATACCTTTAGCCTCTCAGTGTGCAGTCCCAGACTGCAGCCAAGCTGATCTAACAGCTACCTCTTCCGAAAGGAACGGCTCCTTCCTCATCCCAGTGACACCTGCCATCCGTTTCCCTCGCGCCAGCAGTGCCAATGGCAGCTGCCTCCCCAGCAAGCCAAACAAGCAGAAACCCTTTTGTAGCTTTTATTTTCTGCTTACTAGCTGAGGGAACATCGAGGGAAGCCACAGGGCGCACAGAGCCAGGGAAAATAAACACTCACCTCTTTCACTGGCAACTAGATCAACCCTGCTGCACTTCCTGCATCCATGCTCTACTTGGCGCTATGGAAAAGTCGTCCCATCTAGTAGCTTTTAAGAGGGAGAAAAGCTGAACAAGAGCACCAACTCATTGGTGATGGTACTATCACCCCACCATCAGCACCATGTCATGCTTGCTCCACCTCTCTCTCTCTCTCTCTAAGCCCTGCAGAGACCCCACACTGCTCTGCCAGAAGATTGTATTAATGGTGATACTAGGAGGTAGAGAGTCTACCTCTTCTCTATGGTGCTCAGCACACAGCTCGACACAAAGGAGTAGCCCCATCTTCAAGTCCAATTGGTCTACTGCTAATTAGTGTCTTCTGGCCTCCAACAGATCACTCATCCCATTAGAAAAAGGTAACAAGCGTCAAGGTCATTCTGCCAGTATTGCTAGATCCAGCACTGCAGAAACAGATACCTCTGCTCAGAGACCCGTAATTAACTTTTTGGAAAAGGCTACTCCTCTTTGCTCCTAAACTTAGCTTTAAAACCTTCCTGCTGGAGAGAGTCTGAAAGGCAACCCTTTGAGCCTACCCAATGGATGCTCTTACAACACCTCGGTGTGATAATCCTTGCATATTGAAAACAACTTGCCTCTAAAAGGAGTACGCACAAATTTAAGGAGTATGCTCCATGACCAACCGCTGGATTAGGTGACATATGGGCAAGAAATAGCTGCTCATCAAAAAACTTGACAGAAAGATGAAAAACATTTCAGATGGGGAAAAAAGATATGTAACAATGCAGTTTAAACTGGATTCCTCTCAACTCACCAGCTAAAACTGAGAAATGATTAATACAACTAATGAGGGCGGAAGTGCACTAATGTTTACTTCCTAATCTGGAATTAAAATCGCCAGTAAAAGGCAAATTTGTCAGTATAGATCTGCCACTATCCCACTTCTGAAATTAGGACTTGCAACAAGATAGGAAAGCATTTCTTTATCTAACAAGCACAGTTTCCCCATTCTACCCAGCCAAAATCACTGTTACTCATGCAAGTCACCCAGGCGGGCCAGCATGTCCCAAACAGAAGGAAACTTCCAGGCACAACTTTCCAAGTCTGACCTGAGCTAACAGCCAGACCTGGAGAGCCCCACTGCAGATCTGGGGAAGCCAAGATGCTCTTTACTAATAGCTCCCACAGCGTTCCAGTTGACCTCCCACAATTAGCACACATATCACTGCTTACTCGGGCCTTCACATCCAATAAACAGGCCACCTCACCACTCTCATCCAAGCCTAGAAACAACTGCAGGACTGAATCTATAATTTTGTGTCCCCAAATTACAGGCACAGAAAGGAGGCTGGCTTTCCCACGTTCATTACTTCACACTGAAGCTTCTATTAATAACATTTGGCACTTTCAGTCAAGGATCTCCAAGCGATTTGCAAGTGTTACAGAACGTACTCATAAGCAACGTGCTTCTGGAGTTCACTTTACATCACAACCATGCTACCTAGAACTATCACATCTCCATTTCTTTACAGTCAACTTTTTCAAATTTGAAGGCTCAATAACAAAGTGTCAGGCACCAAAAATAGAAAACAGAACTTCAGATGTGCTGAGAACCCCTGTCTTGCAAAACCTCCAATATTCACCCATTTTTAGAGGCTTAAAGCTAAATTTGCCTGCTCAGTGCTATACCAATAAGTAAAGAAATTTGAGTGCCTAAGCAGATTGCCTCCCCTGTTCCTAATACTTCAGGTCCCAAGACCATCAGGTAGCTCCCACACCCACTCTGCCTGCTAAGATCAGACCAGCAGTCCTAAACTGCACGACTCCAGCTACTGAAAGGGTTTCAATACAGCCAGGCCTTTGCAGGGAGAGAGGCTTTGCTGCAGCACAGCCCCAGTTGGAACTTGCAGGTCATGGCAGAGAGCAGCCATCGCTTCCCTTGGGTGCAATCCCACACGCTGCAAGGAGAAAAGCCCACACCTGCACGACTAAGCCATGGCATCTCTGCCTTACTACTGAAGTACAGACAATCCTTGCAGAAAGGCTGGTCTAAATAGCCCCCTGCCAGCTTTGTCTGTCTTTTCAGGAAACAAAACATGTGACCAGCTGCTCCCAGCTCTCAGAGGGACAGCTTCTTACTTGTTCGAGCGCTCCCTGCTATTTTGGGGAAGCTGAAAGACTAACC